CCTTGCTGGTACCCATCAGCTGCCTCAGGTGTCCCACGAGCCAACCAGGCTCAAAAGGACTCCTTCTTCAGCTGGACGGCATCCCTTACTTCCGGTGTCCACCACCGGGTTTGGGGATTGCCACCACGACAGGCACCGGAGACCTTACGGCCACAGCTCCGAACGGCCGCATCGACATTGGAGGTGGAGAATATGGTCCACTCGGACTCAATATCACAAACGGCAGTGAGAGACCTATCCCCGACCCGAAGGCGCAGGGAAGTGACCCTCTCGTTCACCGGGGTAAACTCCAACACATGGCGGCTAAGCTGGGGAGCTATGAGCAAGCCCACACCAGCTCGCCGCCTCTCACCGCGGGCAACTCCAGAGTAGTAGAGAGTCCAACTCTCGAGGAGTAAAGTTCCAGAGCCCAAGCTGTGCGTGGAGGTGAGCCTGACTATATCTAGCCAGTACCTTTCAAGCTCCTGCACAAGCTTGGACTCCTTCCCCACCAGCGAGGTGACATTCCATGTCCCCAGGGCTAGTCTCTGTGTCCAGAGATCGGGTCGTCGGGGCCCCTGCCTTCGACTGCTGCCCAATCCACTGTGCACCGGCCCCTTACGGATCCTCCTGCAGGTGGTGGGCCCACGGGAGGGGTCAGGATGTTAAGATGTGCTTTGAGCACTTGTTGTTGATATATTCTGACACTGACGCCAGGCTGACATTTGCATACAGTCCACACTTCATCAGAATACAAAACAGCATATAAACAGTACAAAGTTATTTGTTGTCTTTATAAAAGGAGGCCATTGCAGCTCCACATTTTTTACTGTGCAAATGAAGCCATTGGAATATGCTGCTCAGTCACTGTTTCTCCTGAAAACATTCACATCTTTAGAAAATGTGTCTGTCAGTAATTAACTTAATTTTCAAGTCTGAAAAACAAATTCAATATTGTTCACAGGTGGTCTGACCGACCTAGTTAGATGTCTGTCTCCAAGACAGAGGGCACAGGTTTGCTGTAATGCCACTTACAGCTGCAACATGTCGCCACAGTAAGCCAACTCAGCTGAACGTGATGTGATCTGAGGTAAAACATGCAGCGAAATTGACATTTTGTTGTCCACACATATGGGTGATGCAGTCTTAAGTTTTCACTGATTGTATTTGTCAGTGTATGCTTATCATTTGCATGGTTTCTAGGTTCAAAGGATAATATTTGATCAGTAATGTGCAGTATTCTCATTAATCACATGCACTTCGTCAAAATGCATGCTTTGTCTCTCAGACTCGTTTTTCCGTAGTCTGAAAAGGCAGCTGACTTAAATTAAATCCCAGTAATCTTAGATCCCCTTTGCAAGGATTCAGCAGATGTGTAGTAACAAATAATTCACAAAGATGAAAAAGGCAGCATGTTTCTCAAGCTATGGATTAAATGATGATTATGTAACTGAAGCCTACACGATTAAGGTAATCTGGTCAAAGTAATTCTCATGATTCCTCCGCGGGACACCCAGCAAAGTCTGTTTTTTTTTCATGACTGATCCTATTGAATATGGGACCAAACAGATTGTCCACCACTGCACCAAATTCTCTGCAGCCTTTTTTCTGAAGGTTAATTATTTTAATAATCTAATAAGAAATCAGTTTCACAAAGGGGTAGCCAAATGACCAGAGGGGTCATTCACAGCTAATCAGATGTTAAAAATGACAGAATACTGGAAAGGTTAGGTTAGGTTAGGTTACTTTATACCTGTACGTAAATAGGAAAATAGCTCAAACAGAAGTAAAAGCTTTATGTTTTTGCAGCGTTATGTTTTGCATTTTGCAGCTCTTATCAGCATATTTATTTGTGGGGACCTCTACAAATTTCTTCTTGGTGTGTCCTAAGTATTTATCTTGTTGCCAAATTAGCCTTACTGATGGAGGCCCATGTCCTCAGAATACAAAAAACAAGCATTTCAGAATCCAACCACACAGTAAAGTGATTAGAGAAAGCTCCTTTATTTCTGTCCAAATCCTACTGAGACATTGACCAATATCTAATCCTACTAACCCCTCCCACTCTCCGTTCCAACATAAATAAAAAACTCAGATGCCAAGCATTTTGCTGCACATTGCCGTCATGTTTCTCTACCAACTACTCAACTTTTTCTTTGTAGCTTCCAAAAAGGAGGGGGGCACTAAATATGACCTGTCCCTGTACAAGCGTGGTGATCTGTTAGAGGTCCCCAGGACGTTATTCACCCATTTTGGTATCTACTTGGGTGACAACCGTGTGGCTCATCTCATTCCAGACATCCTGCCTCTCATTTCCAAGAATAAATCTGCAATTGCTAAGATGGTAACAAATAACCGCCTGCTGCTTGGGGTTATCGCTAAGGTCGCTAGCGTCAGGGTGGACTCAGTGGAAGATTTTGCTTATGGCTCAGAGATTCTGGTCAACCACATGGACAAAGTGTGCAGCCAGCCTCCGTTGGATGGGGACGAGGTGGCACAAAGGGCTGAGAAACTCCTGGGATCGGTCAGCTACAGTTTGCTGTGGTACAACTGTGAACACTACGTCATGTACTGCAGATATGGCATGGCTATCAGCTACCAGACTTACCAGGTAGCATGACTGGCCTCCTGTCAGTAGAAAGACTAAAGGACAGACTCAAGGTTCTTAAAATACTGGCTGTGAAAATATCCTTTCTGACAAACCTTCCTGATATAAGGGTGTTCATTTGTTTTTATGCAAGGGGCTGCATTGGCCGGGGGTGAGGGTTTACAGGGGGAGTGTGGAAGGTGTGTACAATATGGCCACATTGTGATAAGTCAACATGAGTGGCTTGATTCACTTTTCCAGCTTGATGTTAGTACCAATTTCTACCACCAGTGTGTCGGCATTGATAGATTTAAAAAACATCGTTTAACATCCAGTACTAACAAAAATGCATGCCGTGTCAATTTGGTGCATTAATTGAGAGCAATCAGCAGCAAACGCTCATGCTAACAAGCTAAACAAAAGTTATCTTCCCGTGGGCGTCCATGTTCCAACCGTCCCCTGTACATGATTGGTCAATGCAACGCATTGGACAATGTCAGTGTCCCGTGTGGCAAAAGTTCAACCTTTTTCACTCTGTCGTACGCTTTCTCTAAATCCACAAAGACGCAATGCAGCTCCTTCTGACCATCTCTATACTTGCATCAGTAGTGCTCTTTCTGGGCATGAAGCCATACTGCTGCTCACAGATATCCACTTCCTTTCTTAGCCTAGCCCTGCTGTCTCTCCTAGACACTTCCACACCTCTACAGGTATGTCATCTGGACCAACAGCCTTTCCACTCTTCATTCTCCTCAGAGCCTTCCTCACCTCATCCTTTCTAATCTTTGCTACTTCCTGCTCTACAATATTCACCTGTTCCCCCTTCTTTCCCTCTCATTTTCCTCATTCATCAGCTCCTCAAAATACTCCTTCCATCTTCTCTGCACACTCTCCTCACTTGTTAGCACCTTTCCATCTCTGTCTTTAATCACCCTTATCTGTTGCACATCCTTCCCATCTCTGTCTCTCTGTCTCGCTAATCTGTACAAGTCCTTCTCCCCTTCCCTCATGTCTAACCTAGCATACAACTCATCATATGCTTTCTGTTTGGTCATTGCCACCTCCCTCTTCACTCTGCTGTGATTCCTTGTAATCCTGTCTACTGTCTCCAGTCTTTTCTACGTCCCACTCTAACTAGTAGGACTAGATTTGTTTATTTGTGTATAAATCACAAGTGTTTTTATCTTTGTATCCTGGAAAATGTTGCATTACTAAGGTCACATGCGGGTCCACAGGTTCTTCACATGGATTTAGTGATGAACAGATTACTGGAAATTGGCTTGAAACACTCAGTGTAATGCAGTGTTAATTTGAACAGACTATGAATCTGAAAGTGTGTGACCAAAGAGAACAATCTTATTTCACATTAAGTGGCTATTTTAATGCTGAAATTTGGGTTTACTGACCTGTGGCTATGTAAGGGTATTTGTACAGCAGAAAGCTGCTTGCTTTTGGCCACTGAGCTGAAAATAAATTTCATTTATTCATGATACTAGTAGCCCCATCTAGTGTTTCTTTATGCACAAATTACCATCATGCTGAAGATGATGAAGAGTTTCCTCCTTTGCTGCGCTACTCATTTATCATTTACCTTGCCTGGAATCACTAACTCCCACTCT